TTACCAAAACAAAACAAAACAAAATGACCATCTGTATTCAGTTTTTTTTTTGTTTATATTATCAGCGATCAATGTTTTATTAGCTAACAAATCGATCAACAAGACTGAAATTTTTTTTTAGTTAATCATAATAAATGATAAACTGAAGAAATTATCCAAAAAGCCTTATGGGCTGTTTGAATGATTATGTTGATAATGATAGTAATTCCAGTAACAATTCAACTATATATTTTTTTTGGAGAATTGAATAATTTTTTTTCTTCAGCATTTACATTTGGTTAAGATGTGTGTGTGTCTAATATTTTTATATCTATCTATAGTGTGAATGATTTCATTTTACTTTATCGTTTTTAATGTCAAATTTATGTCACGTTCCAAGCCAAAAAAAAACAAACAAACAAACAAAAAATACATTGGCCTAATGATGATGAACTAAATAATGGAATGCAATCAAACTCAAAATAGGCTATAATAACAGGAAAACCAAACCAAACGGATATAACCACAATTTGAATAAAAAGTAGAAAAAATTGAAATTTGTGATTAAGTCAAAAAGTGTTAAAATGTTAATTTTTTTTTCTTTTATTCTTGAAAACAGGTTGTACCAGGGCTCATCATTCATAATCATCATCATAATATGCACAATCGATTCTATTGATATATTGCGTAACACACACACACACATAAACACGGGAGCAATAAAAAAAGGGAAAAAAATCAAAAGTGAAAAAAAATTTATTACCTAAATGACCTCAATAATAACATTAAAAAAACAAGAATGGATAATCGATATGAAAAAACAAAAACAATGAAAATTTGGTCTTTTGACAATGTTACGGCGTTGAAAGTTTTTCATATTAAACAACGACAAATATCGATTCGGAAAAGAAATCCTTGAATTGAAAAAAAAACAAAACAACCAGTAGCCAAAGTAAAAAAGAATTATAATCAGATTTTTGAATGTCATTTGTCATTACGTATCCAAACAAAACAAAATAAAAAGGAAACAATAATAAATCTGCATATGATAACACATTTATGCAAAAATCAAACAACAGAAGTGAAAAAAAACATAATAAATCATGTCACATCAGTAGACAACACACACACACACACACACATACATAGACACAACATCCATCAAATATATTCCCATAACAAATCGTTCCAAATAATTCATAGAATGAATTTTTACTTTTTGCTTTTGATGATAATCATAAATGTGAATTGATCAGAGAACAAGATTTCTAATTTATAACATCAAAATTCACTCAATCATTGCGCATGAAAAAGAGGGAAATGAATGAAGAAGAAAATCAATTTATCAATCTAATATTCGTTTGGTCATCATTGTAATTATATATAAGTTTTTGTTTTGCTTTTATAAAGATTGAGATGTTTGGTATAATGAGATAACAGTGAATGAATGAATAAATGAATGAAAAGATCAAAAGATAAAAGTCGAAATATATTTTATTCAATTATATAATTTCTTTGAATCAGAAAATATATTTCAAGAATACACCACCCATTGAATATCATCTTTAGTTGTTTTTTTTCAATGGTAAATTGGAAAAAATTGAATTGAAAATTTTTTTTTATTCAATCATTTCCGATAAAATAAGGGGTAGATTAATTTCGCAATAAAAAAAAACACAAAGAGAAGAAAATTTCTATGTATGAAAAAAAAATCATTCATTAATTCATTTGATCAATTGATTGGATTTGAATTTAGATTTGGACAAGGATAGATTATACTTACAATTTCTCTAAATGAATGAATAAATGAATGAAAAAAAAACCAGGAAAACAAATGCTCAATAGGGGAAATGTATTTAAAAAAAAAAATTTCAATTTAATACAAACTAAAACTGCTAACAAGAAATGATGTTCGTTATGTTTGTTTGTATGTGTGTGGTTGCACGAAACGGGAATTGAACAAGAAAAAAAAAGAAAATCCATATCAATAACTTTTAATCTGTGAATCTTGTTTCTATCGCTATATTCATTCATAAAACATCATTGTCATCATCATCATCATCATAATCATTTTGATCATCAATGAATGATTCGTATGTTTGTATTTAAAACAAAAACAAAAATGAAAAAAAAATATTAAAAAGTAATTTTGAACGAAAGATATGTAGGCGGCAGCAATCTAAGATCAATATACGACAAGTAGTAGTAGGAGTTTGATGATGATGATGATGATGTGCATAATCATCATATTTAATCTTCTTTTCAATATAATTTCTATTTTGTACCAAGATATATAGCCAACAAAAAGAAAGTCATTCCATATTATTTATTATCATTATATATTTTTCCCCGTTTATCATTAACATCATCATTTCATTTATGAATGACATTATTTATCTTATTAAATATATAAATTTGATCTAAATGTAAGGCTAACCATAGTTGTTTGGTTTTTTGTTTCGTTTCGTAATTCATTTAATAAAATGATTGATTATATATTCATCGATCGGCTTGATTGATTGATTAGATGATTAATTAATTTAATGTTTTTTTTTTGTTGTACCAATCGAAAAAAAAGATATGTCATCTTTGTTTGCGTAGTATTCTCATCAATGATGTGTTGTACAATTTGAAATTAATGATGTTATCCAGAAAAAAAACCGAACATGTCAAATGAATACTAATCGTTTTTATTGAAATTTTTTTCCAATTAATTTGTTGTTGTTGTTGTCGTCGTTTTTTTACTTACTAACACTTAATTAATTAATTAATCAATAAATGATGATCAGTTAAATAAACCGACCAACAATATTTAAAACAAATTATTTAAGATCGTTTTGAAATAGATTCTTTTAAATTCTTTAAAACAAAAACGTAAAAACATATTGCATAATAAAGCATCCGGTTTCTTTATATCTGGATCTTATTCTAATGAATTTTTTTTTTGTTCAATGAACGATAATGGCCAATTTGTAATTGAGGTTTGTTCGAATAACGAAGTGAAAAAAAAATTTGCTGAAAAGGCTGGCATTAAGTGTGTGTCTGGGTAAAAATTTGACAATAATCAAATTATATTCTTTCATTCAGGTATCTGGTCGAATAAATTTTTTTCTTACTGGTGAAAATTTTTGTATGAATGATTACCACCAGAACCACCTTAAAAAGATTATGATCATCCATGATGATCATGATCATTGCCTAAATGATTAAGGTGATCACAAAAAAAAAACTTTTTAAAGAAATTTTTTCTTCTTTCTCACCCATAAATTATCATTTTAACTCAGATAATTGAATTTTTGTTTTTTTAATTAATTATTTAGAAAGATTTCAAATGAAAAAAAATCATCATCATCTGGTTTGTTTGTAACCAGTGTGTGTTTTCGGGATTATAATCGCGGTAAACTGTTTTCGACTATCTTGAAAAAAAAGATTTCACATGTCACACACACACAAACACCCGCGCTCACAAACAGATGGTACTTTTTTTTGGTTTGATTGACTGAGAATTTCTTATTTGACAGTTTGTTTTTTTTTGAATTCTTTATTCATTTTTCAAAAGCAACAAGTTTTATTCAATACGAATCATGTTGTGTGTTTGGAATAGAAAAAAAACAAAAGCTTAATCCAAACAAACAACAACACAAAACACATTTAAATTTGTTGTTGTTTGAATGATTATAATTTATAAAATGTACTATCATTCTAAACTTAATCAAAACTGACTGACTTACTTACTTACTTACTTACTTAGTTATTTGATCTAAATTTTTATTTTGTAAAAAAATGTTTACATTCAAAAAAAAAACACAATAACAATCAATGTCCAAATTTTTATTTTGGTTTATTTTTCTCTGGTTGTTTTTGTTTGAATCCTCGAAAGAAAGAAAAAGAAAAATGCCAAAATTTTAACATCTGTGTTGGTGTGTGTGGTAAAATAAATTAAGAACAAACGAAAAACCATTATATTGTGTATTGGTTGTTGTGATAATATGTTCGTTCGGTGTTCCCAAGAATTAAACCCAGATAGATGGATGGATGGATGTGCAGTGTGTTTGTCTGTGATGATGATGAAACCATAGGAATGAAACACAGAATGCTTCAAGCTTTTTTTTCCTCTAAAACATCTTCAGCAGGAGATTTTTTTTTTTTTTTTTTTTTTTTTTTTCTCACTCAAACACACATTTTTTTCAGTTCAATCTTACCGTTTATATTTGCATTTTGCATTTCCAATGGTTTGATTGTAAGAAAATATATTTATCTATGTTTTTTTTTTTGTTCTAACGAAACCAAAAATGAATACCAAACAGAATAACAGATAAAATTAATGTGTGTGTGTGTGTGTGTGNTTCCTTTAAAAAATGTTCTGCAAGAGATTTTTTTTTTTTTTTTTTTGTTTCTTTCTCACTCAAACACACATTTTTTCAGTTCAATCTTACCGTTTATATTTGCATTTTGCATTTCCAATGGTTTGATTGTAAGAAAATATATTTATCTATGTTTTTTTTTTGTTCTAACGAAACCAAAAATGAATACCAAACAGAATAACAGATAAAATTAATGTGTGTGTGTGTGTGTGGCTGTGTTTATAATGATAAATGTTTAAGTAAGTAGCCATTATTATTATTATTATTATTATATGCACAAGTTTTGGTCCATATGTTCATCCGAAAACAAAAAACGAAACGAAACGATCTTTCTCATTCTCCATAGTCCATAATCCATTGAATTGCTTTTTTTTTGTTTTCGTTGCTGTGTTTCTCTGGTTGAAATATGTCAAATTGACCATTAAAATCTAGTATAAACAAATCTTATTTTTTTCGTTTTTTTATCATCATCATCTTCTTCATAGCTTGCTTGCCTGTCATTTATTATCCAGGATTCAAGAATGTTGTTAAGCTGTTGAATAAAAACAACAGAAAGTGTGTGTGTTAGAGAGAGAGAGAGCAAAAATTCTTGATTTAATACATTTCTTGTTAATTAATTAATTTTTTCTTTAAATTTTACTTTACATATCAATTTAGAACGATAATCATAAATGATCTTTATAATTGATCTCAATAAAATTACTTACAAATCGAAGAAAGAGAGAAAAGAAAAAAGTAAAAATCTGGTCAAAAATCATCGTTTTTTTTTCTGTTACATCTAGTCAACAATTTTATATATAAACAATTTGAAATAATGTGGCTGCCTAAAAATCTAGTTTTAATGATGAATAATGATAATTATAATGATGATAATCATCTTGAAAATATCGGCATTTTTCAAAACGATAAATGTTGTTTACATAAACGAAGACGATTACGATTACGACGACAACGACAATTACATTCATCATTAACATTAACATCTTCAAGTCAATGTTCGAATTATGATGATAATCATCATAATAATAATAATAATAGACAAAATTTATCTGTGACAAATGTGCCAAATACTAAACAAAAACAACCGAAAATGAATATATTATTTTTATTATATTATTCAATATTCATATGGATTCTATCATCATCATCATCATCAACATCATTATCATTAAATTTGGTCGAATCAATTTCGATGCCTATCAATAAAAATAATAATTTACGTATGTTTTGCTTTGTAAATTATAATCCCATTCAATTGAATGATTGATTGATTGATTGAGTAATTTTTTTTCTCTTACTTATAATTATCATCATTTTGTCATAAAGCATTACTTGCCGGAACATTACGTACATATCAAGTATCGGCATGTGACAATGAAGAATTACATTTAGAATGTGATTCACGTACTGTTGTTAGTATTGTTGTTGCCAATTATGGACAGCCTGTACCACAACGTCATATGTGTTATAGACGGCGACCATCAAATGAATGGCCAAATTCTGATCGAATTCAGCAAAAATCAACTAACGATACATCATTGTCATTGTCTTCGAATCGATGTACAGAAGCCAAACATCTATGGGTAAGTTTTATAATAATTTTTTTCAGTAAAAGTGTTATTTATCTTAAATTTTTTCTATGATTTTTAATTATTAAGTATAAATTTTTGCTCAAAATTGAAGAAACTTGTCGTGAACAACATCGATGCGTTTTACGGGTAAATGCAACCAATCTAGGTTTTAAACAAGATCCATGCGGTAATGTGATTAAATTTGCTGAAGTTGCTTATAAATGTCGACCAAGTAAGTTGTAATTTTTTTTAGTCGGAAATAAAAATAAAATAAAAAAATTCAATCCTCATTTCGAACAATAACAAGATCAATTTATCAATAAAATTGCTTGCGAAGGACGATCATTACGGCTACAATGTAATGATAACAACAATAATAATCATCATGATGATGATCGAATTGTCATATTTTCAGCAATGTTTGGTGCTAGTTGGAAAGGTGTACCAGAATGTCCGGGCAGTGCTATCAATCAGCTTGGACCAAGTGCCACTACAAATAGATTTCCAAATCAAACAAATATTGATACATTATGTCAGGATCCAGATACATCGGATATTGTTCAAAGAATTTGTCAAGGACAACGTAATTGTACAATATTAGCCAATTATGATAATTATATTTTAACATCATCATCATCTTCGAATCGAACGTTTGCCTTACCAACCTGTCCAATTTTGGTAAAATATTATCTGAAAGTTGTTTATACTTGTATATCAAAACATATGTTCCAAAATGATCATCGTATTGAATCAATAACAACGTCAACGTTATCATCGACGACAATGATGACGACAACGACCATTGCAGAAACAACAGTGAAGCCGATTATTTCATCATCTACGAATTTGATTGATGACGATGATGATGATGATGAAAGTATCCATGATAATGATTATGGTGATGATGATAGTGATAATCAGAAATCATCGTTTCTATTGAAAAAAAAGAAAATAAAATCTAAAACAAACATTTTGAATGAAGCTATCAATAATGGTAATGACAATATTTCACCATCAATTTCGTCGGTCAACAATAATAACAACAAAAATAGAACATTATCTTCGAATACAAAATTGATGATGGATTCGACATCAATAATAACTAGTGGTAAATCTTGGCGAACACGATTACCGCATCAAACTTCTTCGGGTACATTTTCTGGTGACAATAGTAATCAAGTGTTGATGGATAATCCAAATCAACAACATCATCATTTAGCTATTAATTGTACTGAATTGACTACACAAATGCAAGTTGTTGGATTCATATCTGATTGGATTTCGGCTATTGGTTTTGTAAAAAGTTTGTTCATATAGAATTTTTTCCAAAAAGAATGTAAATTAAATAATAAGAATTTTCGTTTTGTTTTTTTTAGGAAATCAAGAATTGTTTGTGTTATATCTACTAGTCTCATTATTTGGATCTTTAGTATGTTTTCTGGCAGTATTATCGGCACGATTATATTATCAAAAAGGTGTGGCTGTAAAAAAAATTCGTCAAGAACATCAACAACAAAGAAAATTTGTACCACAATTTGATTTTGAAGATGATCTTGATGATGAAGAGGAAGAGGATGATGATGATGATGAGGGTGGCAGGGGTGGTAATGGAAATCAACAAGCCACTGTAGCAGGCGATCATGAAGAAACACAACATATAATGAAGGATAACCATCGACGACCTTCATCAATGCAAACAACATCGATTGGTCGCTGCGATTATGGCCAATCAACAAAACGTCAATCAATGACAGGTATAATTGGAAGTTCTACCACCACACCCACTATGACTACTACTATTACTACTTCTTCGGCTATTGCATCAACTCCTAGTGGTGGTGGTTACAGCACTATTCGTCGACCACATTCAGGTCATATATCAGCCACATCCGGTGGTCAATCATCAACCATAGCTGGACATGGTCATTATCATCCTTCTTTTCCACATCAACAAACTACTGGTACGAAACCATTGATTTCAACATTGGGTCGAACCAGGCATCATCAACATCATCATAATAAGCCTTCAAATCCAACAGTACGTTATTCGGGTACGACAACTCGAACATCATTATCAGCATCTCCCAATACAATAACAACAACCACTACATCGCCAAAAAGTATTCTACGTGATAGTGCCGTACAAACACCTACACCTATGTCAATGATGGTAATGGATTTGCCATCATCATCACGACCACCGATAACTACAGCAACTACTAGCATATCTACCAGCCCGAATTATCGTGGTACAACAATATCATTCGAGAATGATCAAAAAATTTCTACCATTGATATGATACCACCGCCACCACCTCCGTTACCACCGTCACTTTTATCAGCTGAATTGATGACTACTGGATCGAATTTGATACAATCATCATCACCATTGATGATGATGATTGATAGTCCAATGGTACCGTGTGATGTATTGTATCAGCAAGTGGTTAGATGTCCAAAATTTCCAATAACACCTAATTGTAACAACACTATTGAGCCTTATGGTATGCCTACAACAATAACAACCAATTCGAATATAACCGGAAAACAGCAACACCAACAACAACATCCAGCTATATCGACGGTGACGACAACACCCATTATTCATAGTCAGCAACAACAACATATATCATTATCATCTTCAGATGAACAAACTGCCGAATCTAAACTGTTGTCGAGTAATTTAGCCAATTTTCTTGTTTGATTGTTTTTCCTGCCTTCTGGTTTTATTGCACACTTCATTTTATCGCCAAATTATCATTTACGTTTCTGTTCTTCTTTATTTTTATCCGAAACAACTACCTTGTCATTAACTGTATTATGGATATATTTTTTTTCTTTTTGATATAACCATTGAAATTCAAGTATTATCAGCATCATGAGACATCATCTATGATCGTATTTATCAATCATGTTTCATTGTAAATTAATTTATGTTTTCTTTTTTGGACAGAAAAAAATAAATTTTTATTGTTCTTTTTTGTTAAAATTAATGATTTAATAACAAATGCTAGTTTATGGGAGAATTGGGTCTGATGGTATTAAATGATATAATTGTTTTGTTGTAATACTTATCTGCCCAGGACTACCGGACATGAGATCTTTACCTTGTGCAGATTTTGGAAAGGCAATTACGTCACGTAATGATGGCTGTTGACAAATTAGGGCAATCAAACGATCAATACCGATAGCAAAACCACCATGTGGCGGACAACCACATTGCAAAGCTTCTATAAAATAATCCATTGATTTAGATTTACATTTAAGAAGATCATTTAGTATGTAGCTTTGTAATTCAGCCGAATGAATACGTATAGAACCACCACCAATTTCACGACCATTTATGACCAGATCAAATGATTGTCCTGTACAATTAGCTGGATCCGTATAAATCAATGATTGATCTTCAGGTTTTGGTGCTGTAAATGGATGATGTTCAGGTTTTAATTGGCCAGTTTGTGGATCCATTGCAAACAATGGAAAATCATAAACCCAGCAAAACGATAGCTTACGTTGACCATCAGAATTATCACCCAATTTACTTAGACGATCATTTTCAACCATATCAATACAATGGGCACGTATTCGACCAAGAATGTCAAGCTTTAAAATGATGAAAACATTGATTTAAGAAATAAATAATTAACAAATTTTACTTACACAATTCATTTGATCGCTACCAGAAGCGACCCAGATAAAATCATTAGCTTGAAAGGAATTTTGTTCATTGCGGATTTCATTACAGATATCATTATCAAGATCGTGTGTTTGAAATGGTAGCGATGAATACTTGAAATGATTTAATCGACCATTAAAATTCGATGTGTTCAAAAGAGGATTGAGATCATTCTGAAGGAAGTTTTTGATAACAAAGTCCGTATCATAATCCTGAGGAATGATCAACATATAGCAATCACGACGACAGCTCATTTGCTTAATTATTATATCAGGAGCTCTAAGATCTGGTTTATCAGAACCATATTTGTTTAGTGCATCTTCATAACGAATCCGATCAAATGGTTTACAAAGTTTTACTCTTTCGCTTTGAATCGGCCAACAATTCTGAATTAAATCTTCAATCAATTCCATGACACCATCTATAGTTGTAAATGACATTTCAAGATCAAGCTGTGTGAATTCTGGTTGTCGATCAGATTTTGTTCCTTCATCACGATAACATCGTGCTATTTGAAAATATCGATCAATACCACCAACCATTAATAATTGCTTAAATTGTTGTGGACTTTGCACTAAACTATAAAATTGATCTTTGAATCGTGTTGGAACAACAAATTCTTGCGCTCCACCGGGTGTATCTTTAAATAATGTTGGAGTTTCTACGTCAATGAATCCAAATCGTTCGACTAGATGATTACGCATTGCCATCAACATCCATGATCGCAATCTTAAAATCTTGATCATTTGTGCTCGTCGTAGATCAATATAACGATATTGGAGTCGTACATTTTCAGTTGTAGACATAATTGAATCACGAAGTGGCAAAAAAGGCATGTTTGCTTTCGAATTGTTTAATAATTCAAGATGATCGACTAGAATTTCAATATTGCCATTCACCATGTTAACATTGATATCTTTTTCTGGTCTAGCAGCAACTATACCGGTTACTTGTATGACCGATTCCAAATGACATTTGGAAATAATTTCTGCATCTTGTTTTCGTTTTACGAATAATTGTATTCGTTCATAACTATCACGTAGAACAATGAAACGATTCATTCGACTATATTCAAGCCAACCACATAGCTGAACTTTTTGTCCAATTAGTCGATCATTTAGTTGAGCACAATTAAATGTGCGAGTTGTGAATCGATTGAGATCTGAATTCAATGGCAACCATTGATTCATAACGTTCTGTTTTGATTTGATGGTTCGTTTTTTTGATCCATCCTGTTTGGTCGAAATAGTTCTTACTATATTCATAGCCAATACACATGATGATGGATGTTTAATTGTTATCAATCTTTTTGTTAATGATATCAGTTGAATGGACATATTTTTAGTATTTACAATGAATAATGAATTTATTCGGTTTGATAATAAAATAAACCAAATTTCGTAAATAAACGAATACAAAAGCAACACATGTTGCATTGGTCTGTTCAGAAAGGACATTCCATTCGTTTGGTATTAATTTTTACGAACAAAAATGAAATAAAAAATTTTATGGACAAAAATCAATTTCGAATTTTTATTCGACCGGATAAAAATGTAAGTTTTTATTGTTTAGGGATTAGTTAACAATCAATCAATCAATCAATCAATTGATCAGTCATTTTATTTCAGTCAAAAATCAAAACTATTAAACGACAAATTAGCTGTGCTGCCCAAATTATCTGCATTATTGATATTGGTATTTGAATTAGATATGGTTATCATATGGCCAGTAGTTGAAACCGTTGTTGTGCTATTTGACGGGAGATGTGGAGATGGTGATGAATGAGAATGATGATGTGTTGGCCAACCATTTTCTAACGTTGGTGCCGATACAGCAAATGCATCATGCAAATTGTGCGTTGGTAATGGTGGTGATGTTATCCGATTCATTCGGTTATAATTACTATTACCACCATTTTTATTATTGTTATTCGAATTGGATGGCGATATATTACCACAAAATGGTAATGATATTTGTGAATGATTCAATGGCGGTGTAGCTGTGGAACCGGTTGCAGTTGTCGCTGATGTTGAATTAGGTGAACAACGAGAAAAACATCGATTTACAAGCTCCAAATCGCTTGTTGTAGTTGCTGTTGTCGATGGTGATGATGATGAAGAGGATGATGAATGAAAACCGTTCAATGGATTTAGACTGATACCAGATCCATTAACATTACTAGTCAATGATGATAATGATGATGAGTTGAGAAACAATTTAGTTTTCAAATCATGATTTTCTTTTTCGTAATCTAAACACATTACTGAGAGTGTATAATGAAAAATTCAAGTAATTAGTTAAAATTGAATGAATGAATGAATATAGAAATACTTACATCGTTGTTTATGCATCTGACGTTTAGCCTCTTCAAGTGTCGCAAATATTTCGGCACGTATGACTTTTTCCAATTTCAATGATGTTTCTAGCTGGGCATTTTGATCATGTATGATGGTCAATGCCGATACTAATCTATCGCCATTATTCTTGTATTCTTCGATTAACTGTTTGTTATAATAAAAAAAATAACAATCAAATAACAATTTCTTTCGAATAAAATAAAAAATGAAGCGTACCAATTCTTTTCTTCGTAATTGTTCATCTTTAGCGGATAATTCTTTTCGAAGATTGGCCAATTCGATTTCGAAATCTCGTTGCTTTACACGACAATTGTCCGAACAACCCATTGTCGACGAACGTGTATTAGCGGCGGCTGCTGCTGCTGCGGTAGCCATCGCTATTTGTCGTGCTGCATTTTCTTCGACTTGTTTAGCTTTCTTTTCCGAAACTGTCTGCATTTCAATTGATTGTTTTGATCTTTTTTTCTCATCATCCAATTGTTTTTCTAATTTTTGTATAGTTTGTCTATCCTGTTGTTTAGCTTGCAAATAGTTTTGTATTTTTTTTTGTAAATGTTCAATATCTTGCTGATAATTTGCAATAGAATTTCGAAAGATTTTCTCTTCATTACGAAATGTTTCCATCTGTTTTCTCAAATCGGATTCACATTGACGTATTGTTTGTAGATCAGATTTCAATCGAAGATTATCCTGTTCCATTTTCCAAATATGATCATCTTTTGTTTTGATCAATTCCAGTGTATGACTTAGATTAGAATCTATTGTCGACATTGCTGTGGTATTGTCGCCAATTATAGATCCATTGTTTCGTTGATGATGACTATTAGATTTACTTTTTTTTCCATTCGCCATTTGAATTTTATTTAAATCTTTGGACGTCGATTTTATCAGATTTAAATCACTGGTTGAATCAACATTTATGCACTGGCTATTCATACGTTTCACTGAAGAAATTGACACTTTATCCATATTTTCTGATTGATCACTACTCTTTTCCGGTTTATTTAAAAATTCATTTGAAAAATCTTCATCACTATTTGATTCGGTAGATTTTGAACGATAATGATGCATATGATGATTCTTGATTGATTTATCCAAATCACTTGCAGTCATCGATCGTTTACGAACATCATTCGATCCATTTATTGATAAATGATGCAGATGATCATGATTACCATTGGCAATGGGACAATCTGATGATTTCATCATTTTGATCTTATTATTATGAATGACCATTGATGATTGATGTTTGAAGATCATCGAAAATCGTTTATATAATACTTGTGGAGATAATGAACATAAAATGTAAATGATGGCCATTCGATAGAAATGCAATATCCGGCTAATCGTATGGAAAAATTGTTTTCCAATATTCACGATCAGCCCATTGATAATGTTGGCCCAGGATTTTAATCGTTGAAGCCATCTACGATGAAATCGCCCATATGGTTCATTACTATTAATATTGTTACGACGATTAGACATTAATGATGGTTTATTATTACTGTTGCTTTCGTTGTTTGTATGAACAAATGAGATCGTATTATTCGCCATTAACATCATTCGTAATGACAATGATGATGTTGAAACACCATCATGAATACCGTTCTGTATCGACGCTCTGTTCAAATTTGATTGCTGTTCATTATGATCATTATGATTCAAAGATGTTGAGGCAATGATGGGCATTGATGAATCGGTGGTCGTTTGATGAGTTGCATCATTAGTATTGGATGTTGTTTGTGATGATATTGATGGTGGAGGTTCGATTGCCTGTTTTAATAGTGAATAATAAAAATCATTCTCTTTGGCAACGATACGTTTCCTATGTAAACGTAGACGATAATGTACGTAGGATTTACATTCGATACCGAATGTCAATATTGGATAGCCGACACTATACGAAAAAAGAAACAAGATTTGTTCAAAATTGATTAATAAATAGACAAACAATTGTTAAATATTGATTTACCCATGTGCGGCAAATGGACGACAAATCTCATATTGAAATGGCACATTTTTCATCTCTTTTAATCGTACGAATGTTTCAATCATAATTAATATAAACCAAATCATTATGGTAAACAATGTTAGGCCACGTTCCGAATACCAGCATGTAAATTGTAGCCAAACATATGTGCTTGAAGCAAAAAATAGCCATTGTATCGGCATTATATAATAGCAACACATATCGATCGTAATCGTTATGAATACATAGGAAAATAGATATGACTATTTTCATTTTTTTTGTCGATAGGTGAATGGATTTAATTAATTAAATTATCAATCAATTATATAATTATTTTTCATCAAAACTTACCATGCCCTTATATCTAAATGTCTCACTTGAATTTGAAAAAAATGCCCATAATGGATATAATAATTCGAAACGAAATTCGGATATAAAATCCAATATGATCACCAATAACCAGATGAATAAAAATTTAAAATTGATGATTACGTTCAATGGGCTGAGTATATGGCAATTGAAAAAAAAAATGAAAAATAACATTCGGTATAATAATTTTATTTTAATTCTTTCTTTTTCTTTACCTGTAACCATCATTTAATTTGCTGCGTTTAGCAGCCCGTCTCAATTTGCCCGCCGTATTTCCTGATTCAACATTTCTTCTCTTCATTACAGGATATTTTTTACGAACTTGTTAAGCTGGCTAAATTTCAGAATCCACTAGAACAATGGCTAAATTATTCAGAAACAATTCCAAGAAAAAAAATTTACTTACGCTTTCTGGTTATATGAATATTTTTTTTTGTTCGTTTCCAAATTTGATTTTTTTTGTAGAAAATATTTATTCGATTACAAAATAATAATTTTTTTTCAAAAAAAGTCAGAAATAAAAAAAAGCGCGTAAATTAAATTACAATGCAAAACAAAACAAAATAAATGAATTTGCACAAATCAAATGAATTTTAATACAATTAAATTGCAAAATAATTTAATAATGTAATTTTTTCTTATTATTCAAATTTGTTCAATGATGATGATGATGATTTTTGAAATCAAGAAAATTCACAAGAATTCACATAATTCATCAGCAAATATAAAAGCAACAAGATCAAAAAAATTCTTACGAAAAAAAATGCATTCGTTTAAAGAGGTGCTGTGCGTTTAGACAAAAACAAACAAACAAGAAAATTATTCTACGAAAAAAAAAACAAAACAAAAACAAAATGATATTCTTTATTTTTTTGCGGTTTGTTATCATATCACACACACACACACATTAATTATTACGTGATGTGATATATGTGTGTTTGGGTAATTTTTTCTTTTTGATGCTTGCCCACCAAACAACATTGAAACATGTCTACATAATACACACACACCATTATAATATCATTGAGAAATTTTCAATTCTATCGAGCCATCATTCTATATTGGCTCCCATAACACACAAATATGTAGCGAAGAAAAAAAAACATCACACAATGTATACAATACAACACGAGATTGAGTTAATTTCCAGTTTTCGAGACGACTCAAATAGTGTTTTTGTTTTTGTTGTTGTTGTTGGTTGGGTGAAAAAAAGTCGTGGCGAAAATAAATTTAGTTTTTTTTTCTGTTTCTGGACTGGTCGTTTTTCGGGTTATTTGATTGATTTTTTTTTTGTTGTTGGTTGGTTAGTTGATTAGCTACTTCTTCTTCATTCATTCATTCATTCGTCTTCTATAGTTTTTTTCTGCTTCTTTGTATCCAAAAATAATAATTTTGTTCTGTTCATTTCGCTACAATGCTGCTACTTGTTTTTTTTTTGCTCATTGATAAATACTGCTACTTTATTTGAAAATTTCTTCTTTTTCTTCATTTCTAATAGTTTTTTTTTTGATTTTTGAATCATAGATGGCCATACTGTTGATTTTTTCTTTTTTTGATTAAGAATTTTTTTTTTAATTTTTATATGACAAATTGAACAAATTAAAAAAAAACAGCAACAAACAAACGAACAAAATATGAAATAAAATATATGAGAATATTCAAAACTAAAGAAAAAACAACGATTCCATTATTGATAACGATAAAAAATTTAAGAATGAATGAAAAAAAGAAAAGGATTATTTAGAAAAAAATATCTTAAAAATAATGTTGTTCCAGATTCGAGTAGTGTTTTTGTTGTTTTATGGCTTACAAAGGAAGGATACTTAATGTAAAAGTGTGTGTGTAGTAATAATGATAATGATGATGAATAGTAATAGTACTTGGTAGTAATTTCTTTTTTGTTGAAATTATTTTTTCCATGGACCATATTCTCTCCACAATTCATAATTAATTTCTGGCATTGTTGCACAAATTATTTTTGGATTCGTTTCGGATGGTCGAAATTGTGGATTCATTTGTACTGTTTCAGCATCGGTTGTTTTACACATTAAATTTGCCAATGATGCTGTCTGTCGGATATTATTTAATTGATCTGTTAAATTACAACAAAACAAAAAACAGTTATATTATCTGTTTCATAAATGTAATGATAAATATCATACCAATACTGAAACTGCCAGCTTCTCCACCATGTTCAAAATAGAATCGATCACCAAATTTCCAATGATGAAATTGAATGCCATTCAAACAACCAAATGTTGGTCCTAAAATCGAGCCAAATGCTTTGGTCTCCGATAAACCACCGATAAAAAGATCAATGTCACGGAAATCACTGATTTTTTTCAATATTGAAAAAATAGTTAATTTTTTTCAAAGAAGTTCAACACGCTAAAAACTTACGCATAAATAGCTTGTAATTCTTTAATACGACGATCCGGTATGAATCGAATCAAATCTTGCCAGCTTTTAATCTGATATCCTGTACAATATTCAAGGAAATAAACATAAGCAGGAACACCGTGTTCACGACCACGATTCGTATTGATAGCAGGCAAATCAATGATTTGTGGATTACGCGGATTGAAGAAAAGGAAATTTTTAACATCACTAACAACGAATTGATCAACTGAATTATCCGGTTCTTCAACAAGACCTCTTAGGATACCGTTTGTATTACCGGCCCATATGTCGGACATTTCAAAGAATTTATTTCTCAACAAGAATGAATAAGATGGTGTTTGTTTGTTGATCACATTGAATAATGAAAATACTTGTGAATGTCCCATACGAAGACTTGCTACAGCCACTGATTGTATAGTTGATGGATCAATTGTTGGATCATATTTACTATAACCATCAGGTAAGATTTCCAAATCAAAATATTTCATCAATTTTTCACCCAAAATTGAAGGCATATATTCGCCAAAATGAATTTTTTGTACTTCACCAATCAAAAGTCGTCTGAATAAAAAAATATTAAATATTATTCGAATAATAAATAAAAGATTTGTACCTGGCTTCCTGGAAAAGAATTTCATCATCCCAATGTGGATTAATAATGGCCAATGCTTTAGCATGCATATTATGACGACGACGTAACATAATGTGAATAGAATTGATACCCGGATTTTGATTACCACGAATACCATCACCAGTATGGTAACAGGTTAATTGTGGATTACTTAATGGTTCATTACATGGTGTAAGATCTAATGTATCTTGTTCTTTAGGCAATCTTCGTACAGGCAATGTATCATTACCCATTAAATCAAGTGAACCACGCATAAGACCTTAATTAATTAGATATGAGAGAAAATGAAAGCTGAAATTGATTTAGACAATCGAACATACCCATTTGAAATTTTCTTAATGTTAATGAATCATCTATAAGATTACCACCATAAAGATTGGAAAGATCCAATACTTGTGTTGCAACGTTTAATTGATCACGTGGACCTATTGTAAATGTAATAAAAATATTGATTTAATGTAAGAATAAATTGTTTTTCAAATGAATCATATTACATACCGAGACTACATGTATTACAGGCAATAGATCGTACAGTGTTAATACATTGTTGATTATTAAATGAAGCTGTTGCTTCATCTTGTGGAAAATTTGTTATTGGAACACATTCCGGATGAACAGTTGCATTTGGTATTAGACAACAATTGATTGCCAAACCAAGATTTTGTATTGTACGGAAATTATCATGTACCATAAATTGTCCCCATGCCATATTCATACCGGATAGATTAGGATCCGGTACAAGAATATCCGGAATTAAAAATTGTGTAATCAAACGTGGACTTGGCAATGGTGCACCAGTAATTGAAACACGTGGTTGATTAATACCATCTGAATAATCTGGTGGTAATAATCGACGATGACAATGAAATGAGGAACCCCAATTAGGAAAAGCCAAATTATTACAACGTCCATTCATTAAACGATATTTATAATTTGGATCACAATGAATATCATTGGATTCAGATTTATCAATATTACAATATTCTTGATTTAGATTCGTATTTTTTGGTATTCTTATTGTTGGCAAAATTGCTGCCGTATTATATTTATTAATACATTTTCTAATGGAAAGGAAAAAAATGATAAAAAATTGATAATTTTGTAATCAAAAGAAAATAAATGAACATTAAATTGATCGACATTGAATTCTGAATTCACATTTCTATTTTCTATGTGTTTTCACTGTTTGAATGTCCAACGAATCAACAACAAAATCGATTTGGAACAAATAAAAAAAAAGTTAAAAATAAAATGCCCAGTAGCCATTTTTTTTCAGATAGTAATTGTTCGAATGGAACAATTGGACAACAACAACAGCAACAAGAAGCTCAAAAAGATATTGACCATGGAAATAGAAAAAATGTGAAATTATTATTATTAATGGTCATTGATGTTTATGAATGAACATCAATGAACAAAACAAACAAACAAAACGAACAAAACAAAACGAACGAACAAACACAACACGATTAACCAATTTAGATTTCTTTTATTCAATTCACTTATTATTATTATTATCATTCAAATTCGAATGATTGTAAAATCAAATTTTTGATATATTCAGTTAACAACAACAACAACAAAAACTTAACTAAACAAATAAAGAAAACAATAACCACATACGAATCTATTTCAATCTGTTTCTGTTCTAATTTTGAATCTAAAAATTATTCAAATAATGACCAAACTTATGACAAAAAAGTAAAAGAAGAAAAAAAAAACACTAAACGATTGAAAAGAAATGATACAATTTTTTTTCCAAAATGGATTGATTCATTGAAATATGATAATGAATGTGTAATGAATGAATTCTTTTTCTGTTCAAAAAACAAATGATGAAATATTCATACATTGATGATTGTTGCATCAAGTTGATTGAATCCAGAGGGGGAGAGGTGGTGTGGGGGAAAAGAAAGAAAGAAAACGATGAAGAAAACGCCCTAGAAAATTGTTGTCGTACAGGATGTAAATATTTGACATTGAATTTTTCAAATTTATAAATTAGCATTTATTTTTTTTTGCCTAACTTATATATTGAATAAAAATGTTCAAGCCTAATTATTATTGATCTAACTGGAACAAACTGCAACGAATTGAATGATTCAAATTGAGTTTTACTTTGAAAAAATGTAAATGAATTTTCGATTTAGTTTTTTTTTTTGTTGGCGTTCTTCTTTATCGTAAATCGATTGATAGACTCAAAATTCCAAAAAGAAATCTAGTTTTTTAATGTGGTCAATCTAATCGACTAAAAATAATTTCAATTTTCCTTGAAACAAAAACAAAAAATGAAATAGAGTTAAACAACAAAAACAAAAATTGACAACAGACAAAAAAGATTTATTCAGAATAACTGACACATTAACAGTAATCCCACACACCTACACACACACACATATTCAATTCATTGTTCCTTATTTGCTTGATTTTCATCAAAATGATGATGTTTATATAATGTGAAAAAAAACAAAAAATTTATAAGATTTTTATGAAATTGAATTTTTTTTTGAGTTTTTAATTTCAAACACATCACACACACACACTCAGCAGGTTACTCTAAATAATATTGTAACGATGAAAAATAATAATAATAATTGTTTTCATAATCATTCCAGAGTTCCATAATAATCATCATCATATGAGACATGCATGAATCGTGAAATTAATTTTCATCTTTATTTTTCAATTTTACTGAATGATTCGCATCTCAAAAACAAAAACAAAAAAATAAAATAAATAAATTTTTTCCGAATGATAATGAAAGTAATTAGTTTTGTTGTTGTTGTTGTTGTTGTTGTTGTTCAAATGATTAAACAGCCTTCAAACGAAAGAAGAAAAAGAAGAATAAAAAAAGGTCGGAAAAAAACATTTTCAAGATAAAATTGTGGCCTAATCCATTGTCATTAATCAATCAATCAATCAGATCAGATCAAGTTAAATCAATCAATCAATCAATCAATGGTTGATTGATCAAATGGACAGAATGATAGAAAAAAAATGAGATCAAGAACATACATTCATCATTGAATCGACGACAACTCGTAAAAAAAACTTACGAAAAAGAAAATTGCAACATTACAACGATGTTGTAGATCAGTTTCGCCTATTTTTGTTTCTTTTATTCAAATGTGAATCTCATTCTTTCTCTCTCTCTTTTTTTTTGTTTACTTTATATTTTTGCTTTTCGATCGATACAATTGGTGGATAAAAAAAAATTTATTGATTAGTAAGTTAGGTAGATGTTGCCATTTTGAGTATAATATTTCGTCACGGAACATTTTGGTTATTTTTTTTTTGTTGTTAGTTATGCTGCCACCAAAATGAAATGAATAATGATAATCGCCACGCAAACATCCGTTTACATTATTTATATTTATATATTTTGTTGTTGTTGAATATTTGCAGAAACGGAACAAAAAATCCGATCAATATTTTATATCGAAAGAAAAAAAAACAATTTGGTCAAGTTATTATGATCAAATTGAGATCGATTATTGATTGATTGATTTCTTTCAAATAGATATTATAATCAAATTGTTGACAACCGGATCGTATTATTTTGAGTGTTCTTTTTTTTCTTAAAAAAAAAAGAATGAAATCAAATGAAATTTTCATTTCTTCTCAATATATTTTTTGATAATATCATTATCATTATAAATCATTCAGAAATGACAGCAACAACAAAATAAAAAAAACAAAACCAAAATAAAAATGAAGTTTAAAACGGGGAATTTTATTTTAAAATTCCTCGAAAATCCGATTGTACATACATTTTATAACGATATTATTATTTTTTCATCATCATCATCATCATCGTTTCAATTGTAGGTAATTGTTATTATCATCATCATCATCATCATAAGTGTAGAGTTTTTTTTTTGAAAAATTTTTTTCTTTCCGGGTTAATCGAAAAATGTTTCGCTGGATAATAATAATCATACAAGAAATAAAAACAAAAGAGAAAAGACAAGAGACGGTTGTCATTTGTTGTTGCTGTGTTTTTGTTTTGTTTTAACTTCGTAAAACACACACACACACACAATCCTTTGTGGAACTTTGTGCACCACATCATATATACAATACAAGATTGATTCAGATTTTTATTTTTACTTTTTTTGTTGTTGTTGTTGAAAACATTCAATGACCGCCGTCCACAACAATCAATGATTTTATGTTGTTGTTTTTTTTATTCATTCTTAATAATTCTATTCTCTATTTGATAATTAGACTTAAAAAGTAAGAAATTGCTTTCGAAAATGTTTTGAATCAGGATGCTTATGATAGATAGATAGAAAACAACGAATCTTGATTATTATTATTATTATTATTATTTTTCTCACTTGTATATATCCTATCACATATTATCGTCATTGTTGTTGTTGTTGTTGTTGATAATGATGATGATGATCAACAACGATTATATCTTAATATCTTAATCACAAATCTTTTTTTTTGTGTATAAGTGATGATGTGATATTTGTGTGTGTGTATCGTTGTATTGTAGTTCCTTTTGGAAAATAAAAAAAAACTAAGCTTAATGGCAAACGTATAAATCTTTTTTTTTCCTGTATGTGTCATATACTATAAATCATTTCTGATGATGATATATTTCTGATGGATTTTCTTTTTATTTTTTTTTGATGGCTGCTTTTCAATCAATGTTTCAATGTTTGACCCTAATGAAAAATTATATATTTTCATTTCACACAATTATGAGAAAAAATATATTTCAAAAACATATAAGTTGAAGATTGATTGAAATACTTTCGTTTTTTTTCAAGTTTATGGGATTTTTGTTCCTATCTTGTTCTTTTTGAGCAATCGACTTAGGCAATGTGTTTTTATTATATTTGTTTTATTATTATTATTTTCAATTTTTCATTGTGGATTTTTATGTTTCTTTTAGTTTTGTCAAATCAATCAAATATTTTGCGAATTTTTCGATGATTTTTAATCAATGATATCATTGATTATAATTAAAATAAATTCACTTACTTGCTTGTTAAATATTGAGTAATAAATTCATTGAAACGTGCTTGAAGTAATGCACCAAAAATATATGCACTAAAATTCAAACCACGTGGATCGATGGCTAAATATTGTTGATTAGCATTTTCATATAATTGTATCTGTTGTGATGCAAATGAAATAGCTTCATTAATATCATCTTCAGTAACTGTTGAACCATCATGTATAGCATGATTATTTGGACATAATGCACCAATAGTCATATCATTTGATAAATAACGTGTATAAATACGTGCCAATTCGGGTGAATATTCACGTTTTGAATTATAACGACCAACCGATATACCCGATACTAATGGTGTACTGAGGTCCATTTTGGCTGGAAATGCACTTGTATAGACTGATAAATGATCAACATTTGCTGGCATATGGCTAATATGTGATGTATGAGCAGAAAAACCATAAACCATGGCAATTATAAATGTTATGGCAATTATTGCCATTCTTATGAATGAACTGTTCACAGCCATTTTATTATTTTTGAATATTTTTTTCAGGTTTTCAATCAATTATAAATTGAATCAAAGGATACGTACAAATTAAGCTTGCACAAGCATCTGTGCAAGCGATACACAAACACACAACTTAACACAAAGCACTTTAACTGATATAAACTTTCAGAAACAAACAAAAAAACCGAAAAGAAATTCTTGAACAGAAAAAATCTCAAAGAAACAATTTTTTTAGCTAAACATGTCTTTTATATATATTCGTTTACGTATTCTATCATCATCATCGTCATAGATTTGAATTGTTTTTTTTTGGATTCGAATTCAAAATTTTTTTGGAAATAAATTGAGAGAGAGTGATAGAGAACAAAGTAGGAAAAAAAAGTCGAGCATCCAAACAAAAAAAACCAAGGAGAAATAGTTTGGCATTTCTCCTGTTCTCTCTCTCTCTCTTACATACTAGGCTAGACTTTTTCTCTTTCCTTTCCCAAGTAATTTCATCATTGATTCCAAGTTCCAGTTGTTTTTTTTACAATTCAAAATTCGTTGTCTCTTTTACTTTGTTTACTGCTACTTTAAGATTTTGAATTCATTTTCATTTTCATTTTTTCTGAAAACATTTTCATATCGAAATTATACCAACAACTAACAATTCGCAAACCCTTTACGTACATATTATAAATGGAATATTCGATTGTTCCAGTGTAAAAAAAAAGATTTATAATTAGATTGAAAACTTTCAAAAACTTGCTCAAAATCATTCATTTTTGTTTTGCATAATTCATATTTTCATTGAACAAAAAAATAATGTTAATAAAATCATTTTTCTGCTTTTTTGATGAATGTCCAAAACAAGAAAACAATTCTCATTTACATTTGTTTGACAAGTTTATTTCATTTGCCTATATAATTTATTTATGGATAATTTATTCAATTGGTGGTGTGGTGGTGGGGGAAAAAATAGCCTAAAATCAATCTCAATTTTCACTTTTATCATCTAATTAACACAATATTAATTGACTATTTTGTTCGTGATTATTCGAAATAATCAAAAAAATTCTTAATCAATTTTGTTTTTTTTCATCCAAAATTTGAAAACAACGACAATGATGGCTTACGAATAAAGTGGGCTACACCTACTTGAAAATTTGTGTGAAAACTTTAATCTTTTAAAACGATAGGAAGAAAAATGAAAATTGTCTAATCTTGTTTTCATTCCTTCAAAGTCATAAATGAAAAAAAACGATGATGATGATGAATAGATATAATAATTTAAATGGATCGAACTCATACACTAGGATTGACAACCAGAAGCAAAGTAGTAGCTATTAGATTTTGTTTTGGGATGGAATAATTGCTGAAAACAAATTTTAGCCGGTATAATATTAATCCGAAGACAATACACTCCTAGAATTTTTGTTTTTCAACTAAAAATAAATTCATTCAACTCATTCAGATCAAAAAGAGACATATGCGGATAAAAGTATCATATATGAAGATTTGATGATAAAATGAATTGAAATCGAAATGCGGAAAATAAAAATTTTCAACAAATTCACATCCATATTATCATTCATTTGTCTCTCACTTACTCTCTTTCTCTCTGTTTTTGTTTGTATGCAAGTAATTATAACAAAACTTAAATGACTAATTTGGACTTGAATGAATCGTATAATAATAATGATGATGATGAACATAGAATTACGTTTTGTAAAAAAAAAATCTTCAATAGATATCTAATTGACTAGAGTAGGTTAGTGATGATAATGATGATGATAAATGATAGGACCATAATGTTTTTTTTTTGTTATTGTTTTCATTAAAATCATCATTTAGTTTCACACAACAACAACAAAAAATTGAGAGACACAATTTTAGATTGGGTCATATCATTAGTCTGGAGTCTGATGATGGGCGTCGGTTCGGCATATTTTTTCGGCTACCTGATTTTTTGTTTTCTCCCATTTCATTCATTTCATTTTACAAATCATAATAGAAAAATTCATAACTTTTATAAAATAATTTGACAATTTTTGTTGTTGTTGTTGTTGTCTTAAATAATATAATTATACATCATCAACGTCATCATGATATGTGTGACAAATGAATTTTTTATTTTGTTTAAAATTTTGTATTTTGTTTTGTTTTATATATGTTATATTCTTCACGCAATGTTTTATTAATGTTTTTCTGTATCTTTAAATTCATTCATTAACTGAATTAATCATATTTAATATAAAAAAACACCGCTAGGTTTGGTCATTTCAATGGTGACATTATCGATTATTATTATTATTAAAAACAATCTCATTTTTGGATGTGATTTATAAATCATTTCGAAAAAAATTAATACAAAATGATCACATTTTTTTTCTTGATTATTACAACTCATTATTCAACAATGATTAAAAATGCCATTGAATTATTAGCCTGAATGAATGAATAAATACTGTGAAAATGTGAACAAATCAATCATTCGATCAATCAAATTGATTGATCGAATGATCAACAAGAATAAATAAATTTTACCACATACATAGAAAATAAGAAATAATTTATTATAATTATTTTCATTTAAATATTTTTTTGAAAAAAAGCTTTGAATGATTTTTTTTCCCATTGAATTCTCATTGATCAAGGCAAAATGATTATTATTCAAGTTTTCATTTGATGAATTGGTTGAGATATAGAAAATGGAATTTTTTATTTTTTTGATGTGTTCTTTGATTTCATCATCAACTTGACAATTACAGAAACACACATACACACAATTGATACACACACCAAAGGTAGCTAATAAACAACAAATTAAACATGATTTGATTCATGGAAATTGTAGGTGTGTGAGTTTTTTTTGGTAATCCTTGAAGAGATTTTTTCTTTTAGAAAAAAAAATGTATCAATTAATCAGCAGTTTGTTTTCATTCCATTGGAATTTTTTTTTTCACTTGGAAAATTTTCCAATTGAAAATGAAATGTTCATTTTCTCGTGGCACACCTTGATCAAGTTTTCTTGAATTTCTTTTCCTTGTTGAATTTGTTGTTGTTGTTGCTGTTGATAATATTCTTATAACCATGATCCATAACCAAAGGTTATCAGTTATTTCAAACATGAATATTTTTTTTTTGATATCTTTATAATTACATAATTTTATTGATTTATCAATCAAATTGCAGAAAAAAATATGAAATTTTTGCGGTGGTTTTTTTTCTTGTCAAACAAAATTCATTTCGAAATTTTTTTTTATCAAATAGTGAAACAAAAAGTGAAATTTGTTCAGATGTGACAAGGTGTTTCAATTTCACTTTAATCCACTTTGAAGCCACCCTTTTCCCCATCATTATTTTTATCCATTAACAAAATTATCACTGAAAATTCAATGAAATAATATGATTAATAATCAGATAAATTGAATTAGAAACAAAACAAAATCCAATTATTAATCAATCAAATGTACAAGAAATGAAATGAATAAAATAAATGTTTTCTATATGCCAATTAAAAAGCAAAACTGAATTGCATACATAGTGATAATCAGACAAAAGCAAAAAATATATATGTTTTGACACCCAACATCATCGAAAGGCGAAAACGAAAAAAAAAATTTCACATAAACAAAATCAATATCAATCGATAAATCATTGATTGATTTTGTTTTTTACCTTTTTATTGTTATTCTTATAATCCCAATTCATTTTTTATTAGTTTGGATTTGAGTTTTGTTAAAAGGCGTTGTTTAAAAGAAAATATCCGAAAAATAAAATTCTTTCATTACGTTGAATAAAATTAGGTATATGTTAATACAGGGTGTTCGTATTGTATTTTTTTGAAAAAATTTATCCATTTCGCTGAAATCTTCGTTGATTTCAATGTTTTTTGTTTTGTTTTTCAGTTTGATCAAATGATGAAATTCGATTCCTTCAAATATCGTTTCAAAAAAAACAGATCGAATCATTATTTTCGATTAGAAATGGACACTATAATTATAATTATAATTTTTTTTCCTTTTTTCAAATTCAATTAATTTTTTTTGGACAAAAATAATTGGTCATCTCCCCCCCCAAATTTCGATACAAAAATATCAATGACAACATCATCAACAAACATTGTTTTCGTTGTTGATAACTGTCCAAAAGAACAGATCCAAAAGCAAAAAAAACAAACATCCCGATCAGATTAAAATGAAATTTTTTCCCATTTGGAATTAGTTTTTCCTATCGTTTAAACTTATGATATCCATATGATGTATGTGTGTGTTTGTATGTGTACTTTTGTTTCCTATTCGTTTCAAATTCAAAACTGAATAAATTTCAATTTCATGTGATTATTATGTTTGTTATGAAATCAATATAATAACAAACAATCAACAAACAACTATAGTAATAAATAACAATGACATTTAACATTATCAATGTAGGGGGAGGAAAGAAAACGAATGATTTTCACCCTCATTGATTTGATGACAAATAATAATGTTTATATGGGGAGGAATTGTCTGATTGATAATCATTATTATTATTCATTCATTCATTTAGTTATATAAGATGAAATCAATTTTGTAATCAATGAACAAACAAAACAAAAAAAATCATCAATGTGACATTCATTTATTCATAAGAAAACAACAAGAAAGAAAGGAAAATATCCATTTTGTTATCCGCTGTTTTTTTCAGATTTTTCAGTTTTGTTTTGTTTTGTTTCTTGAAACAAAACGGGTCAAACTAATTACCATTAATTTCCAAATAACAACAACAACAACAGAAATATAGTTTTGACCGAAGTCCAGTAATTCACTCACTCATCAACATTTTATGTCACTCATCATTTATATTAATCGTTTATGATGATCATATAGTGTGTGTGTGTGTGTGTTATACGGTTTTTTTCCATTTTATTATTACAACTTTATGATGATTATGATTATAAGAATTGTTGTTGTTGTTTTTTTTCGAAGAAAATTTCATTTTTTTCAAATGTTTAAAAAAACCGAATGATTTTTTTTTTTGTTTTGTCTTGTTACTTACCTTTTTTTTCACTGCACAAAACAAACGTGATTATAATCATTCTTTTGGCTATTGCTGATAAAATGTCGTGCTTATTGTATAATGTTTCGTTTAATGTTTTATTTTGTTTTGACCACCATCATATCATCATCATCATC